CTCTACTGTACCATCATTTGTGAAGATTAGTCTCGTTAATCCAAAAGGGTTTGTTTTATAGGAAGAAACACGTGCGCCATATTGTAAGGGATAAATTGTGACTCATATTACTTTTTTTTTAATCAATAAAAATGAAATTAATAAAACTTGGAGAGCAAAATCAAGACTGTCCAATGTGCTGATAGTAGAATGTCCGGGATGTACGTTATGCTGGAGATATAGTCTTGCTTGCACATCTTGCATGTATTCCAGAAAACTTAGTTTTATGAATATCAAAAATGAAATCAAAACTTTATTGTTTTTGCTTGTCTTGTCTTTTATAAAGTCTAACACACGTAATTACAGTAACATTTTTGTAAAGCAGAAGTACTGTATCTTTAAAGTGCATTAGATAATCACACAGTTGCATTTAATTTATAACAAAATTTTATGTACATAAAATCTTATTATTACTTATCTTGATCCAAATTCGGCTTAAACAATTCTGACTAAAGACTGGGAGTATTAAAACAAAAGAATAGAGAACTATTTGGTTGCACAAAGTTTTTGTTTCCAAGAACACAAACTGTGTTAAAATTTTTTTAAATATATAAAATATCATGAATATACAAAAATAATTGTCTTTGTTTTCCTCTTTCCGTCATTTAAATGTGCCAGTGACAGTCCAGAAACAGTTTTTACATGTGGAGGCAACCTTTTATTAGATGCTCTGCCTCAGCGATAAAATGCGAATGATAAAAATGTCCTCTGGTGATTTCGCAAATCTTATGATATAATCGAAATGGGATGATGATGATCATGATAATAATAAACACAGAGCCCAAACGGTTAGGAGTTGATAGTTGAAATTTGGTACACAGTTAGGGTACAGCATGTGAATGCACATTAAGAAGGAATTTATGAAAATCCCCAGGGGAAGGGAAAGGGTTAAGGATTACCCTGAAGAACTCTGCTTCTACTGTATTATTTTAGATGTGGTTTTTGCATTTTTGCGGGAAATGAACATGTTTTTAGACCCATCTAAAAATTTTCTAATTGGCCTCGGAAGAGGAGGAACTTAATTCTTGCGCCCGGTGGAAACGGGTAAGATTGACTGTGTGACTATATAGGTTATCTTACGTAAGGGTTTATCACATTGAATGACTAATCTAACACATCTAAAAAATTCTTTATTCCCCTACTGTAAACAATTTAAAGAATTTTTAAAAGTGTTAGATTGGTCATTCGCCGTGATAAACCCTTACGTAAGATAACTTTTGTGAATATAAATCAAATACTATAACGATATGATATAGTAGAATGGTTAGAAGTGCAAAATAATCTAATAATCTTAATCTTTGCTGCTGTTATTTTTTGTGCAAGCAATGCTGTGTTCATTTGCTAGTATAACAATATTTACAATATGTTTAAGTAAAATTTTCAGACTGTCACTGGTGTGTTGAAACAACAGAAAGAGAAAAACAATGACAAAGTATTTTGTTTGTGATATTTTTATAAAATGCAAATACTGTCAGCCAAGTTTTAATTTTTACTTGGGTATTAAAATACATTGCAAATGCGATTCTTAACATTTTGCATGATGGCAAACGATCTTTACACCCAAAATGACACGTGCCACAAACAGTTATTGAAATTGGTGAGAACTTTAATAGTGATTTAAATATAAGTCAAGTGCATTTTCTTCTCTTATATTAGTGTTTTATCCTGATTTACATGTGCCAATCTGGTAATTTTGTTTTTACTAGCAGACACTATCTCTGCGTATAGTATGTCTCCGGTCTGTTTTAGATTATGCTTCATCTGTCTGGTCATCAGCTGCCCTTTCTCATACCAAAAGTTTATGAAGAATTAATTCTTTATAAACTCGATAAGAGATTTTCTGATTATTAAACCAATTTTATATGATTAAGTATTGTCGTCGGTAATGAAGACATAATGGCTTTGTTGTCATTGCAAATCTAAATTTCTGACTCATACTTAATCATTTATAGGACTAAATACATTGTACTACTAGCTTAAACAATTCAAAAGTGAAACTCAATAATTATTTCCATTGTGCCTACTGTAACCCCAATTTACAAGCATATCTCATTCTGAAACGTCATCTAAACAAAAGTTTTGTAAGTGGTAGATGGTAGACCTTTACGTCATTTATTACGTTAGAAATTGGATGGCCAGATAGGTGAAGCATAATCTACAATACTTCATTCCAACATGGCCCTCGCAATCTGCCCACGTTCTACAAATATCTTCTGTGTTTTGTAGCACTGTAATGTTAACTATCAACTAAAACTTCTAAATGAAACAAAACAAGAGAGTTGATTAGTTAATTTCTGATATAAAGAGAAATGGGAGAAGCTTCTCTCGATTGTCGGTTTTCTTTATTTAATTATAAGTGAGTGATAAGTAAACAGAGTGGAATGAAATGTGAACTCTTCCATTGACAATTACAAATGTAGATATATAAAGTTGTAAGGAAACTTCACTGTGTACGAAATTTGTTTAAAATAATATGCATTCCGTTCTTGTTCGAACATTTATGTTAGATTTTTAAAATTTTTATGCACCTGACGACGATGAAAATAGATTCGTTGAAAGCGCTAGCAATACGAAAACATTTACTAATGCCATACACAGTGAGTTTTCCTTTCTGCTATTTAATATTTGGCATGATGATCCAGCTGTATTGTATTGGATATAAAGTTTAGTAACCTGCATGTGTGTTAAGAAGAATGGCTCTACTACTGACAAACAAATGTATGGCACAAATGAAACAAAGAAAATGGAGATTTGAACCTACGAGCCATGGAATAAGCATATTTTATCATCTATTAGTTTTTGAACTAATGTTTTATCCATCTAAATTCAATTGTTTTTGAATAAATGAAATATGCATTAGGTCTGTCTTGCCTGTGTTTAGTATGCCCTAGCTTGATACGTCTGCGTTAAAAGTAATGAACAAACTGTCTTCAGAGATAAGAAGTTAAATGTGTGACAAAATAATTACTTCAATATTACAGAATGTCATTTAATGTGTATTAACTTTAAATTAGAAATTTACGAACATGTAGTTCTGTTTCTGTAGGTAAATGTGGAGAAAAAGTTATGTCAGTGTAAATTTGGCAAAATTTATAGAGCTTATGTCAAATACTTGGTTTTGAAACTGAATATTTTTCTTTTTGTTCTAGCATTTAGATATTACGGGTAACTTAATCTTTTTCCTTTTGATAGGTACATTGGACGTTCATAGAGATCTGGAGAAACTAGTCGCAAGATTTTTAGGCGTAGAAGATAGCATAGTAGTAGGAATGGGATTTGCCACTAATTCGACCTGTATTCCCGCCTTAGTTAGCAAAGGGTGTCTAATACTGAGCGACGAACTAAATCACGCTTCTCTTATTCTGGGTTGCCGAATTTCGGGAGCTGTCATTCGCGTCTTCAGACACAACGGTAGGCATCCGTACGAAAGTGGAAAAAATGGTAAGAGATACATTGTATAAAACACACGTTTATTTAACAGACATGAATGATTTGGAAGCAAAATTACGTAATGCCATCGTTACGGGCCATCCCCGCACGAGGAGACCCTGGAAGAAAATCGTCATCATTGTTGAAGGAATTTATAGGTAAACTGGTTTTATCAAAATTATGTTTAGGCAAATTTAAAGTTTGATTTAAAGGCTCACATCTATAGTATGGAAGGTACAATAGTAAATTTACCCGCCGCCATCCATTTAAAGAAGAAATACAAAGCTTATCTCTACGTGGATGAAGCCCACAGTATAGGTGCTCTAGGTTGTAACGGCAGGGGCGTCGTCGACTATTATAACTGTGATCCCAAAGATGTAGATATATTAATGGGGACCTTCACCAAAAGTTTCGGAGCTGCGGGAGGGTACATCGCAGGCTCCAGGGTAAGACACATTTTTCTGGTAAAATATTTATGTACGAAGGTCATTCTGAAAGTAAAGGACGTTTGTTTGTTTCTCTAAATATTTTTATTTAAGATAATGGAACAAAACTTATTTTACCTTAGCTATTTTTATATATAGTCACCATACAAATTTAAAACATTTGTCATGGTGTATCACCAGCTTTTCTATGCCTTCTGCACACTCAGTTACCGCCAAGTTCTTGAACCAGTCATTAATGGTCTCTTTAAGTTCGTTGTCACTTCTGTGGTGATTTCCGGCCAAACAATCCATCAATTTTGGGAAAAGATGGTAATCACTCGGAGCCAAGTCTGGACTATACGGAGGATGTTCAAAAACTTCCCACTTAAACTGTTGAAGCAAGTTGTTTGTCAGTGCAGCAACATGCGGACGTGCGTTATCCTGAAGAAGCACAATGCCTCTGGACAACAATCCCTGCCATTTGTTTTGAACTGAAGCTTCACTCATCACATTACCATAAACCTCAGTTATTTGTCTGTAAATTTCGATAGGGCAGACTTTTTCGCATTCAAAAAGCATATTACACTACAAACCTCACACTTGGCAGTATTTTTTATTTTGTCACACATTTCAAAGTCTCACTGCAAACAGTAAACAATCATTGCGGCTCGCTGTTAGCGTCAGAACTGGTGCAAAAAAACAAACGTTCTTTTCTTTTAGAATGATCCTCATAATTAAAAATTAATTTACATTGTTAAAATTTCAAGCATTTTATTACCGTAGGAATTGATAGACTATCTGAGGAGCCACTGCTACAGTTTCAGTTATGCAACTAGTATATCATCTCCCGTCGTTTGTCAAATCGCTTGTACAATGAAAATTATTATGGGTGAAGAAGGAAATGGCGAAGGTATTTAATATTTGAATGATGTTTTCAGAAAGTTTACACTAAAATTTTTATCACTTGGCTTTACACAAAGCAAAAAGAACAAATATTAAAATAGTAAATTCTTTTAAATTTTCCTGTATTTATATTAATATAATTATTGTAAATACAGTTATCTGTAACTTTTAATTGAATCAGTTAAATTATTAAACCTGTGATTTATATAAATTTGATTTTGAACGCTACACAAATAAAATACTTCAAAGGAAAATTTTTAATTGTTAGTATTCAGAAGGGCAATAGGAACAGATCTTGAAATACAGAATTCTTTCACCCTTTTCATGCTTCCCACCAAAGTTAAAATGTCATGTTAAATGTTAAATGTGAATCTTATTGTCTCAAAGAATTTTCCAACTCAGGAAATAATATCAGGAACCAAATGTAATGCTTATGGGTGGGGAAAAAATAGAGAATTCAAAGAAAGTATTATTACTTTGTAAATTTGGGGTGTTTCCCACAAATATCCCTAGTTTTGTGGACTAATTTTTGGAAAAGAAATGATTATAAATTACAGTAGACAATGGTAATAGAAAATCGGTACTTTTCCACTTGCTCCTGATGTGGGAAGCAGCATCCATTCTAACATCATCAACGTGTTAGGAGTTGCACTGCTAGTGGCATCTGCAATTTTGGTATGTGAGATTCATATCAGGCCCTTTTGTGGAATATACGCAATCCTTGATGTGCCCACAAAAAAGTTCAAAGATATCACGTTGGGTGACTGGACAGACAAAAAAACTGGGTTCTGGCGATCTACTCCTCCAGTCAGTGGAGGTCCTGATTACCACTGTGCCACAGCAGCAGCCCATTTCAGAGATGCATGTGAAACTTTGAGTATTAGTCAACATACTCCAACACATTTTATTCATGTATTTGAACAAATCAATTTTACAAAACCAGTTTAAAATTAAGAAGGTTCAAGGAGAACATTTTGTATTATTTTAAACACATTCTGCATTCATTACACTAAGATTTTAACATGCCGACAATCTCGTTTTACAGGAAGAAAACGCATCGCACAACTCGCCCACAATACACAGTATTTCAGACAGAAATTGAAAGAGATGGGATTCATCATCTATGGTAACAAAGATTCTCCTGTAGTTCCACTTATGTTGTTCCTTCCAGCAAAACTTGCGTAAGTATATATGTATTAATATTTAATGTATATTTTGTGAAGCCAGTTGTGTTCATGAAGTTGTCAGAAGTGTTTAAAATTTCACATTGCTATATATATTGGAATTCCGCAAATTAGAAATAGATATGTCAAATTTTTGAAAGATGATTACTGTCAGACATTACATAGAAATAAATTTAAAACCTTTTATTATAAAACATCAAATACACTGATAAGTTTGCAAGATTGCTTTTTTCCGATATTATGGATTTAAAATAGCAAATATAGGGTCATCCAAAAAGAATATTACCATTTTAAATTACTTTAATTAACTATTACCTGAGAAGTATTCAATATATCTTAGTTGGTAGAATAATTATTCATTTTGTCTACCATCTGCATTCAAACGTCTTTTGTTTTATACCTATAGGAAGCATCATAAACAAAAATTATGATTTTATAATGGAGGTGTTCTGCAGTCCACAAAGTCAGAATTGGTTGTCACTGTGCAACACAAATGTTAGTCTTACATAGTGGATTGCGTTGAAGTCGTCTGAAAAATTCGCATTGCGTAATGACAACCAACGCCTTCTCTTGTGGAGTTGCCACTTTTGTTTATGGCATTTCCTAGAGGCGGCAAACAAGACATGAATGCAGCTGGGAGATGAAACTCAGACACTATTGATTGGTGTACATTCCATGCTTTTTGGGTAATAATTAACATTGCTATCCTTTTAAATTGTAATTTTGTTTTAAAATACCCTATATCAGTGGTTCTCAACCGGGGATACATGTACCCCTAGGGTTACAAAGCGTAAATAGAAGGGGTACATCTGACTTTCATTATACAATGGCGCATGTTAATGAATTTGCTGTAAATTATTAACACAAGAAGAAAAAAAAACTTGCTTTAAAATATCCCAGTACGAACACCGATTTCCCTTTTAACAGTCCAAACAACTTGTTTATCCGCTCAATTTACCCGTCTATTTGTGCCGTTAGTGCCGAGTGAACCTGTAGTCTAGTAAAATTTCGATTTAACCGAGCATTAATTTTAGAATAGATGTCAGCGGATTGGCAGTACTTTTAGGTTTTGTGAAATATCAGTACAACGATGAGCTTTGCGAAGATTTGTTAATGTGCCACGGCCTAAAACATACAACTACGGGTTTTGATATTTTCAATAAAATCAATGTTTTCATTCGAAATAATGAAATAGATTGAAAAAAGTGCATCGACATCTGCACTGATGGAGCTAAAGCTATGCAAGGTCCAATTTAAAAGGTCTAAAGAAAACTTTTACCATTTAAACGATGTATTTGTGACAAAAAAAAAA